GCAGTACGGCTGGAAGGCTCTCACGAACCTGACTGTGAAGAGCCCTCCTGCTAGGCCAGCACAGCACAGATGAGGGAGGTCAGGCTGATGTAGCTCTGTGAAAACATCTGGTTGTGGAGAGCACCAGGCTCTGTCCCAGGTAGCGTGAGTGTGGACGGTGGAGTGCTATTTTTAGTGTACAATTCAGACGACTAGTACTGGATTCTGACCTAAATCCAGGATTGCTGCCAGCCTGGCTCTGTGTGCCAGAAGCCATGTCCAGCTGACCCCCAGATACCAGGTAAAGAGCACACTGTGCTTTAATCCTAGAGAAGAAACAAAGTGTCTAGTTTCCCTTTGCTTTCAGTACAGGACTGCCGAAGGCTGGACACGGCTCCCTTGCCACTTACTCCCTCTGAGCTGGCCGAGCTGGCCAAGCTGAAGAGGCGAGAACCCCCTGAAAGTCCAGACGGCATTTGACATGAGCAGTGTCGGTTGCTCAACACTGTATTAACTAAACACTATACTTACTCCTTCCTTGTAAAAAGTTTTGAATTAAAAACTAACTTTTCACAGCACTCGGGAGGCAGAGGCAGGTGGATCTCTGTGAGTTTGAGGCCAGCCTGGGCTACAGAGTCAGTCCCAGGACAGGCTCCAAAGCTACACAAAGAAACCCTGTCTCAAAAAACAAAACAAAACAACAACAAACCTAACTTTTTAGCTGGATGTGGTGGTGCTCTCCTTTAAATCCCAATTAATAAAGATAGGAGAATCTCCGAATTCCAGGCCAGCCTGGTCTACACAGTGAGTTCCAGGACAGCTGGAGCTATGTAGGAAAAACTGTCTCAAAGAACAAACCCATAAAATGAAACTTGAAAAGATTTTTTAAATGTCTGTGCTCCACATGCAGGCCTGTGCCAAAGGAGACCAGGTGTCGGATGCCGTGGAATCAGTTGCTGACAGTTATGTGCCACCATGTGGATGCTGGGAACTGAACCTGTGTCTTCTGAAAGAACAGCAAGTACTCGTAATCACTGAGCCATCTCTCCAGTCCAGAAAGGTAACTTTGAAAAGACATGTGTTGTTCAGTTATACTGGCTTTAGAATTTCTAAGTAGAAATACTCCTTAAACTCTGCAGGGAATGGGATGTGGCCTGGGGCAAAATAAATCAATCTGGTTGGATTCTGACCCCTCCACCCAGTTGGTTTGGGCAAAAACCAAGTACTACAGCCTCCAAAAGACTACTACTCAACATTCAGACCTCTTGGATGGACTTAAAGCTGCCTCTTGAGATTTGAGGACTAATGTGGCCGTCCTCTGGCCCTGAGACCACGAGGTAGTGCTGGGGAGCAACCCCAGGGCTTTGCACCCACAACACTGCACCTCCTTGGATGAAACTGAAGGTGTTACATCTGGTAAGGGCTTAAACAACCTTAGTTTCTGTTTGTTTGTTTGGTTTTGGTTTTTTGAGACAAGGTTTCTCTCTGTAGCATTGGAGCCTTTCCTGGAACTCACTCTGTAGCCCAGGCTGGCCTCGAACTCACAGAGATCCACCTGCCTCTGCCTCCCGAGTGCTGGGATTAAAGGCATGTGCCACCACCACCCTGGCAAAAGGTTTTTCTTTTCTTTTTGGTTTTAATCCCAAGTGCTGGGATTAAAGGCATGTGCTACCACTGCCTGGCGGGCTTAAGCAATCTTTCCCCACATTAAGGCCATACATTTAGACTAGTTTCTGATGCGTCTTTCTTTTTGTGGTTCTGAACACTGAATGCAGCCTTGGAGATGCTCTACCACTGAGTTACACACTTGGCCTCATGCATTTTTTGCAATTAAAAAATTTAAATTACAGCAGGGCGGTGGTGTTGCACGCCTTTGATCCCAGCACTCGGGAGGCAGAAGCAGGCGGATCTCTGTGAGTTTGAGGCCAGCCTGGTCTACAGAGTGAGATCTAGGACAGGTTCCCAAACTACACAGAGAGACCCTGTCTCGAAAAACAAAAACAAACAAACAAAACATTTAAATTACACTTAGTGGATTGGGTGCACACATGCAAGTGTGGAGGTCAGAGTTGGTCCTTCTTCCACCATGGAACTCAGGTTGGCAGGGCTGGCCGTAGGCACCTTTACCCCTCAGAAATCTCACGAGCCATCCTCCGAAACATTTTTTCAGGGCACAAAATGGGTTTCATCATGACATTTTCTTTTCTCAATTCACTCCCTTGTTGAATCTTAAACCTGACGGGCTCTGGTGAGGGTGAGTGGGAGGACAAGTAAACTGGGTTGACAGAGGGGAAGGGAAGCTTGCTGCCTATCTAGAGAGCCAGGCGCTGTCTCCTCCAGAAAGGTAACACCAGGCAGCCACCTCTGCCCGCCTCCTTCACAGGGACTCTAAGGCCCACAGATGACTAATTCAGACATCATCTGCAATTTATACAGCATAAATAGGTATCACCCACCTGTAATTCCACCAGTCAGCCTGCCGAGTCACAAGGATTTCATTTTGAGACTCTCCTGGGATACATGACAAGAAACCGCCTTTCAAAGTTTGTGTGTGTTGGGGGGTGGTGAGGATGTCAAGTGGGATTTATGATTTCATAGGCTCCAATGGTTTTTTTCATAGTACTGTAGATATCATTTTTTTAAAAAAATGAGACAGAGTTTCTCTGTGTAGCCCTGGCTGGCCTCAAACTCTCGAGATCCACCTGCCTCTGCCTCTGCTGGAATTAAAGGTGTGCGCCACCATGCCCAGCTTTTTTTTTGTTTTTTTTTTAAATGATGTTGTTTATTGAACCAAGTGTATTGCATTTCATGTGTTGGCAAGTGCTCTGCCTCCTTGGACTTTTTTCTTTTGGTCTGAAACAGGGTGTCATGTAGCCCAGGTTCACCTCAAATTTGTCACATTGCCAAGGATGACCTGATCCTTCTGCCTCCACTTGAACTTGGTTGTTTTTATTTATTTATTTAATTAAATTTTTTTTTTTTTTTTTTTGGTTTTTCGAGACAGGGTTTCTCTGTGTAGCTTTGGAGCCTGTCCTGGAACTCACTCTGTGGCCCAGGCTGGCCTCAAACTCACAGAGATCCTCCTGCCTCTGCCTCCCGAATGCTGGGATTAAAGGCATGCGCCACCACCGCCCGGCCTGTTTTTATTTTTGTTTTAAAGATTTATTATGTATACAATGCTCTGCCTACATGCCATAAGAGGGCACCAGATCTCATTATAGGTTGCTGGGAATTAAAGTTAGGACCTCTGGAAGAACAGCCAGTGCTCTTAACCTCTAAGCCATCTCTCCAGCCTTTTTTAAATATTAATTTTTGCCTTCTGTGTGTGAGCTCTTGCATGTATACTTGTGCATCACATACCTGCTGTCAGCAGAGGCCATGGGGGTATCTGGGTTGCTGGAGACGGCTGTAGCTGAAGGTACAGGTGGTTGTGAGCCACTTGATGTGGGTGCTGGAAACCAAACTGTGGTGGTTTGAAAGAAAATGTCCCCCAAAGAGAGTGGCACTATTAGTAGGTGTGGTCTTGCTGGAGGAAGTGTGTCACTGTGGGGGCAGGCTTTGAGGTCTCTTTTGCTCAAGCTTCCCTCAGTGTGAGTCAGTCAACTTCCTGTTGTCTGCAAGACGCAGGAATCTCAGCTCCAGCACCACATCTGCCTGCACACGACCATGCTCATCATGATGATGATGAACTGAACCTCTGAAAATGTACGAGAGCCACTCCAATTAAATGTTTCCTTTATAAGAGTTTCTGTGGTCATGGTGTCTCTTTGCAGTAATAGTAAACCCTAAGACACAAACCCAGGTCCTTAGCAAGAGCAACAAGTGCTCTTAACCACGGAGTCAGCTCTCCAGCTCCCAGCCCCCTTGTTTTTTATTTTTAAATCAGGGTCTCACTACACAGCTCAAGCTAGCCTTGGGGTCCAAACTGCCTCCACCTTTCAAGTGTTGGGGATTAGAGAAATGCATCACTGTACCAAGCAATGAACAAATTTGACTCTTGCTCATTTCTACCAAAGGGACACAAGGACCTGCTATATTTACCTTTGTGTATTCCTTAGATCTTTTTTTAAAAAATAATTTATTTGCATTGGTATTTTGTCTGCATGTATGTCTGTGTGAGGGTGTCAGATCTTGGAGTTACAGTTGTTAGCAGCCATGTGAGTGCAGGGAATTGAACGCCGGTCCCCTGGAAGGGCAGTCAGTGCTTTGTTTTGTTTTGAGAGACAGGGTTTCTCTGTGTAGCTTTGGAGCCTGTCCTGGAACTCATTCTGTAGACCAGGCTGGCCCCGAACTCACAGAGATCCGCCTGGCTCTGCCTCCCGAGTGCTGGGATTAAAGGTGTGCGCCACCACTGCCCGGCGGCTTCAGGTTTCAATTAGAGATTTAAGACCCAGGCATGGCAGCACATACCTTCAATTTTGGAACTCAGAGGGCAGAGGCAGGCAAATCTTTTGGGTGAAGGCAGCCTGGCCTGCATATTAAGTTCCAGGCCAGCCAAAGCTACACAGCAAGACTGTGTCAAAAAGAGGGTGGAGTGGGTGGAAAGGTGGTTCAGAGCTTAGGAGCACTTGGTGGTTTGCAGCTTCTAGCCCCCACATTTGGCTCACAACAATCCAGAACAAGACATGCACACATGCCTGTGGAGGGCGTCAGGTCCCCTGGAACTGGAGTTAACAGGCAGTTGTGAGCTGCCATGCAGGTGCTGTGAATGATCCCTGGTCCTTTGCAAGGGCAGCCAGTGCTCTGAACTGCTGAGCCCTTGGGTGAACCTAGTTAAGGCAGCTCTTATGTTTCTTAAAGTTTCATGGAGTTGGGGTATTAAGCAATAGTTATTAGGAAAGTACTGACTAAGGCTATGAAGTGAATGAGGAGATTTAAATAAAGATGGTAAGGAGTATTTAAAAAGCAATGACGCCGTCCCAAAAGTTTCTTCATTCAGCCCCAAGAGCCTTTGCGGTTCTAGGGCCACATTAGGAATCACAGCTCAGAGTCAGACTGTTCCCACAGGAAAATGAAAAGTCTTCACAGCTTATTTCCTTTAATTACATCATAAAACAAAATTAGGACATACAGGAAACAATAATAGTTACATAACAATTTACTTTATATATTTATATATATATATAAAAACATTTCTTTAGTCCAAAGATTTTAAAGCAAAAAGAATTGTCTACTGCCTCCTTGGATTTTATTTATTTCAAACAATCCTCCTCACCCCCACATCCTTGGGTGTTGGAAGTATTGTACATACAGTCACTTAGCTAATGGAACCTGTAAGTCCCCACTGGGGGCTGTGCGGGGCCTGGGGAGTGGCTGAGTGTTGGCGCAGGCCTGGTGAGAAACGAGCAAGCAGCAGCTCCCATACAGCAAAGTCCAGGTCAGGCTCAGCAGCTGGGGCATGGGGTTCACAACCATGCGACTGTCCGGCTACCCCTCAGGGAGTCGGCGGGAGCGAAGAGGACAGATCTCCTCAGACAGCACCAGGTACCCATCTATGTCCTTGAGCAGTCTGACAGGAAGCTCTGAGCTCTGCACAGGCCACTGACCACTCAGGTCTGTGCTCTCAGGGGCACTGGAAGGTGGGCAAGGTGAGCAGAACCACCAGGAAATACTAACTGGAACTAATGCCTGGGAGGAAAAAGGAGGCGGCCAGAGTGGGTCAAATAGGAATGGGGGAGAAAGGCAGGTTGAAGCCTTTTCCAGACACCCTCTGATGTAGTGATCACTGATCCTAGGGGTCAGTTCTGCGGTCACATCATGGGGAGGAAGAGTTGATAAAGCTTCTGGGACATGTGTCAACAGGATCTACAAGGTAGTGCATTATGTCTGGGTGTGGAAAGGATGAGCGTCAAAGGTATCAGGCTCCCCTTTCCTGTATGCGATAGAAAGTAACAGTCATCCGAAATGGAGAAATGATCCTTTGTGTACAAGGGGACAGACCTTCTATGTAAACCCGGAGAGCACGGCACAGGGCCACTTATTCAAGTCCTGTTGCAGTACTGGGGGAGTCACGTGTCTCTCAGGAGAGCAATAAACCAACGGGTGAGACCACTCAGTCAATTTCAAGTAGATTTTCTAAGACTTTAGAAGTCCTCATTCTTTAGTGACACTAAAAATGAGTGGATGAATGTTTTCAGGGGCTGAGAAATGTTAGGGTGAGGGGAGAAACATACACAAGCAGCAACTCAGAGCGGATCTGAGTTAACACAGGTAGTTAGTGGAGCAGAGAGACAATACTTCAAAGATCTTAGCTCTCCCAGTTCTGGGGGTTTGGTAGGAGACACCCCTTTCCCACTACCTCCTCCTAGGGTGAAGACTGTTATTCACTGTCCCACACTCCTGTCCTGGCACCAAAGCCACACCCAGAAGCAGCAGGAAAGCCCTTCTTGCCACCAAAGGGGCATGGAGTTGATGAGATGAAGACACACAGTGACTCATGGGAAGCAGCAGTCCTGAGCTCAGGACAGATGCTCTTCCTGAGGCAAAGCATCCCAGTTCTAGAATGATCCTCTCCCCCGAGCCCTGCTATCATTTCTGACTGCCAACTCAGGAGAAGATGCTGGAAAGCACACAGCAGAAAGGGGTCACCAGCTTTCTGCTTGCTCCTGGCTCTAGGCACCACTCTGGCTGAGATGCACCCACACTCATGTGCAAATTCAACTCCACAAAGTCTTAAGACCAAACCCTCACAGGGCAGAGATCGAGGATTTGCAGATGAATGTAGTCTCCAACATCCCCCCATGTGATCTATAGAACAAAAGCCTTTCCTCCTGAATATTACATGTAACTTTCTTCAACTCCCAAGATTCACTCAGACTAAAGTGAGAGGCTAATGAACTGGCTTTCCTAAGAGCCTACGGGATCAAAGCCTCCAGAGATGTAGGACTCAAAATGGACAACACAGGCAGACTTGGCTTGAACAGGAAGCTGCAGAAGCCCTTCATATAAAAACTCACCGGCCTCCTGGGGTAGTTTCCGGCAGGTTAAAAGAAAAAAAGGTAGGGAGGGTTACAGCAGCCAGTGCTTAAACAGTGTATATTCTCCGCTGGAGAATGAAGATGTGAAGTCGGGACATTTGGATATAGCATTTACAGCCAAATTTTATTCTCAAACCAGCAGGGCTAATCACACCCTATTGATACATGGCTTTCTGCATCTTCCAATGCAAATCTAAGATAAAAATAAAGGTGACAAAGTGAGATTCTTACTCCCCCTCATCCTTCTGATTTAGAATTTTTTGTCCTCAGGTCATTTAAGGGTTTCTGCTTCAAGACCTCCAACCAAACATTCTCTAGCTCTTCTTAGACAAGGCTGGGTTAATCCCTGGCCTCTCAGCAGGACCCGTAGGACAGAAACCCATCTGTACAACGCAGCAAAGGTCCAACAGGGAGGGCTCTTTCCTTGTCCACCTTCTCACTGACAACAACTGGATGAGCTGCCCGACTTTAAGAGAAATAAGTCTTGCATTTTATTTATTGCCAGGTGGTGGTGGTGGCGACAGCGGCCCACACATTTAATCTCAGCACCCGGGAGGCAGAGGCAGGCAGATAACTCTCTGAGTTCGAGGCCAGCCTGGTCTACAGAATGAGTTTCAGTACAGTCAGGGCTACACAGAGAAGCCCTGTCTCAAAAAGCAAACAAACAAAAAAGCATTTGATTTATTATTACAGCATGTGTGCATGTGTGTGTGCATTCCATGGTGTCCATCCCGAAGTCAGAGGACAACCTTCAGCAGCCAGTTCTGTCTTTTCACTGTCAGAACTCAGGTGCCAGGCATGTCCAGGACATACACTGACCTGCTGAACCATCTCAACGAAGATCAATCATAAAGTCTCAACACTGTCACCTAAGGGGCTGGCCACACAGACAGACAGGAAGTCACTCTCCTCTTTCCAGGGACAACTCTCACACTTCCTAACCATATCAGGTCAAGGCATGCTCCAAACACAGTTTACAAGATAACTAAAAAAAAAAAAAAAAAAAAAAAAAAAAAAACCAAATGGAATTCAGTGCCTCACAGCTACAAACAGTCCAGCCTGGACTTCAGTGGCCCACAGCATTCATTCATAATGAATGAATTATAACAACGAACATTCTAAACAGTATAGAACGCCCCAAACAGAACATGGGAAGTTATTCACCAAGTTTCCCTTGAAAATGATTAAAATACCGTTTTTTGACTTACATCTGCTAAATTAGACATAGAAATCTGACCAGAAACTACAAAAACTATCTGAGGGATCCTTTTACATCCAGAAGAGGTGTAAAGGTCAGAGTAGGGAAAATAAAATGCATTTTTAAAACATTAAGCACACTGCGCTTTCATATGCCAAATACTAACGGAAGTTAGGTCCCTTTACTCTTTCAAAGCCATCAGTTTGACCTCAAATTTAACTCAAAGCCAAACACCAAACATTAAGGACCATCAAGTAAGAAATGACCTGAGCCACTTCCGCTCGACAGGTCCTAGGTTCAATGCTGCCCCTGACAGCCTGCAGGAAAGGGATCCCAAGACGCTGGACTGGACACATCCCACGATAGAAAGAGGTTCAAACAGAGGCCAGAGGCAGGTGGTGGAAGAACTGGTAAGACAGTGACCACCTTAGTGGTCTTAGTAGGGCTGATAGAGATGTAGCAGTGATTGGTGGCAGAACACGACAGATGACATGGGGACCCTGCTCACAAATAAAGATTATCTGTGTAGTCAAGAACTTCCTCCAGACAATTCCTCCTGGCCACTCTGAGGCTTTGGGCAACCTCTTTGAGGGTTATTATTCAACATCTTATTCTTTTTACTTGGCATGTTGAAAAAGAATGTCACTATGCAGCTGAGGCTGACCTCAAACTCTGAGATCATGGGTGCCATCTTAATTATGCCCATTTAATTCTAGATCTTCCTGCCGTTCACATTTTTTTTCATCATAAAAGGCATATTCTGGAGTGGGTGTAGTGTAGCTAGAGTTTTCCTGCCTGACCCACAGTCAGGACAAATCTCTCTCACCTGCCAGTCCCACAGCCGCTCAGACCCGACCAAGTAAACTCTTAGCTCTGACCTCTTGGCTTTCTTCTCTGAATTGGCTCTGTGTTTCTTATTTTATAAGACCGTTGGTTACATCTACAGTGTAGAATTAGACAAATGGACCCACAGGCTTCTTCCTCCTTTCAGAGGTAGTCTCGCGCTATCTATCCCAACCTGGCCTGGCTCTTGCAGGAATCCTGCTTCTGCTTCTTTCGTGCTGGGATTACAGACACACGCCACCACACCTGGCTCCCAGAGCTTTTATTTTCTTCCTAATTATGTTTTTATTGTGCGAGCGCAGGCACATGCATGCCAGCTTGTGTGGAGGTCAAAGGACAACTTTCTGGAGTCAATCTCTCCTTCCACATCCTCTAAAGACAAGGTGTCTCTCGTTTCTGCCCATGCTATGTGCTCCAGGACGGCTGGCCCTCAAGTCTCTGTTACGGGAGTGCTGGAATCATGGGTGCACATTACATCCAGCTCTTTTATGTGGGTTCCGAGGCCAAACTCCATTATCAGGATTGCATGGCAAGCGCTTTGCCCTTCCCAGTCGTCTTGGCAACCCCCAATAGGCTTTTCCAAAGGGGAATTTCTCATGTTAAGTTTTACTAGGGGCTGGAACTATAGCTCAGTGGTAGAGAACATGTGTGCAAGGGCCCCGGGTTCCATCCATGGCCCCGAAAACAACCCCAAACCCAAGCAACCACACCAAAACCCTACTGAATTCTTAGAGGTATTCTGCACATGTAGACAGGAAGCATTTATATTCAGATGTCAGGGCTCTTTCCACCTGATTGAAACTTACCACAGAGTCTTGGTGTAATAAGCTGGTGTAGGATTCAAATCAACATTTAAAAAACATTTCTTTTCCTCCAAGCATGATGGGCCTGATGTTACTTGAGAAAGGAACATGTCCCTGCCTGACCATACGCACAGGGCCGCACAGCCACAGGTCTTCTCCTTTTGTTTAACAGCAAAGGCCACCAAGACCAATCCGATGAGCCTGCATGTGGCAACAGACTCTGAGAAGAAAAACAGCATTTTCAAGACCTCTGACATACTGGTGAGTAGCAGACTCCTTCAACCTTGAATGGAAAGAAGACGTGATTGAATGGCTTCCACTCGGGCAGTTCAAATGTACGTCTTCTAACCGTTAGTGCTCAGGCTTTACTGCCAACTCTTTAGGCACTTCGGGGACAAAATCAAACAACACAGTTTAGAGCTGATAGCTTTGTTTGAGAGACTTAGGGGTCTAAATCTAAACACACTTGGAAGTGGGTATACATCTGTGTGCACTGAGTCAAACTTTAAAAGTATGATGAGTTCGATATGGAGGCTTGCACCTATAATCCTAGCATTTGGGAGGCTGAGGCAGGAAGATAACCACAAATTCCAGGCCAGCCAGGGTTACAGAGTAAGACTTTGTCTCTGGTGGTGGAGGTGTGCAAAATATTCCTGCCAGGTAAAGCAGTGTGAGCCACTGCAGTCCCATTCACTCAGGATGCTGGCTGAGGGGGAGGGGAATTGGAGCCCAGGTGCCAAGGCTTGGCAACACAACCAATGGTCTCAGAGGAAAAAAGAAATTTCTTGCAAGGTAATTTGAACGTAAGGGGGAGAAGGAATAAAAAAGCACAAGTAATTTAGCTTTCAAAAGAGCATAATAAAATAAGATTTTCAATACATTTAATATGATAAATAAATCTGGTAGTATAGAATTCTAGGACCTTTCCATCTGATTGTTTTCTACATTAATGGAGAAATAGATCAGACTTTATTCTTATATATTCTGGTAGAACCAGTACCTATAGCATTAAAACAACCCTTTTAACATCTTGGGATCATATTGGCTTGCACATCCACATCCTAAAAAGCCTTTCCCCCAACACCCTATTAGACATCACACAAGGCCTCTTACATTGGAGTTTAGAAATATGCTTTAGAAACCCATTTAACTTCTCTCATTTTCTGTGAGTCTTTTTTTTTTTTTTTTGAAGAGGCTTCTTCTTGACTCTGAGCCATAGGTACTAGGTACTAAACCCCTTTTCTCAGCTGGGGGGGCCAGGTCCCAGGCTTGGTATAGACACTGAGCCCCTTACTCCCTCTCAAGGTTCTCTGGCTAACCCAATGCCCCTGCCTGGCTGCCTTCATATCCCACTCAGAGGAAGTCTGCAGTGAGCAAGAGAGAGCGGGCTGCTACGCTTGGGTCTTCTGAGGTGTCACCGTTCGACACAACCCTGCTAACCTGACCTAGGCAGCTGGTGTTACAGAGCTCTTCTAGTATCCCTGGTGGGATTAAACAGGGGAGGGGCTCCAGAAACTAACTGTAACCACCCCAATCCCCGCAAGTAACTCAAGTAACTCTGCAGACAGGCAGAGATCTCACCATGTTCCTGTCAACACAGGACAACATGGGCCATTTGTGCTTGAGCTTGGGTAGTGGGGACATCCGGGCTTTGTTTGGGGATTTGCCATCCACTTCATACTAATGATGCACTTCTCCTTTCTTAATACGCTCACAAGGTTTGGAAGAGGGAAATGTGTAGGGGACATTGAGAACAGAAGATACAACAGAAACCAAAAGGCAAAGTTTCCTTTCATCCAAACAGTTCGACTCTTTCTTATCCTAACTTTCCCGCTCCCATTAAGTTTTCCTTACAGACTGGCAAAGATTCAGGCAGGGTCCCCTAATGGTAAAATTTAGATTAAAAAAATATTTATTGTTGTTTCTTTTAAAAATGTTTGGTAACCCCAACTAATCATCCCAAATGCAAACTGTAAACACAACAGCAAGGGAGTAACAATTGAGTGTGAGCAGCAGACCGTGACTGGAGCAGACTGAGCCCGAGTGCAGCGGTGAGCAAAGGAGATAGACGGGTGCACAGTGACAGGGACAGACTGAGCAGCTAAGGAAAAGGACTCATATCTGGACCCCAGCAATTTCAATACAGCTGCTAAGGAAACTTCTGGGCCAAATACTAAAACACCAGATGAGTGGGCGAGCCTTCTTTGTGAGCATGCTCAGCATGTTGGCATGGAAACAAGGAAGCGCAGAAGTTTCGTAAGCATCTCCCAATGGATGGCTACCATTTCTAGGATGCAAAGAAATTTTCTTTCTGGTCCCTGGATTCATCATATATTGTTTTCCATGCTACAAACTTTCACCCTGGAAGATTGCAGTTACTGTTTCAAAATCCCCACAGAAACCCTTTAATAAAATAAAGAAACCACAGTAGCAGTAACTGGGTTTTGCTGGAATGTCCCCTCCCTCTACCACGGCCTAAGATTTCTTCTGGGCACGTCCAATAGGAATGGTTAAGTTTTACCACTCCACTTGGTACAGCCAGTACGAACTTCAGTGCCATGATCACGGACTGCAGCGGATGGGGTGAGGGCATGTGCCTGTGGACGTGTGGCTCTGGGGATCTGGACGCTGCCCTCGCTTTTGGAACCCTTGCCCAGAATCCTGGGTTCGCTTCCACTGGAGAGACTCCACGGTAAGTCTCGAAGTGTCATTAAGTACTCAGTTCACACACCGAGCTGACCACCTCCACCGTCATAGGATGATGCAGCACCTGCAGAAGCGCTGTCTGCTGCCTCCTACTGATGGGGGCGGAGTGACAGGGGCGAAGTAGGCGTGGACTTTAATGTTGGGTAAATGGGTCTGAAACAAGACAGAAACACTACTAAGAGAGCGCTTAGACAGGAGCAATGTTGTTTCTCAGAGAAGCCAAGGGGCTGAAGGACGGGAGTGTAGGACTGGCTAAGCACTACTTAGGATGTGAGGAGGCCTAGGTTCTACTCTGTTCTACGTAGGGGATGGGAATGAAAGCAATTCTCATTTTTCATCTTGTCCCAAAGGGATTCACAGTTAGAATCCCATAGCTGGAAGAAGCTAGACAAATTTAAAATGATTACTTTTTGAATTAAAACATATTTCTAGTCTTTACTATGTCTGAATACTTACTAGGTTTAAGGCAGTATGCTCCTTATTGAGAGGAAACAAAAATGGGGAATCACATCTTTCAGGACCTTACCATCTCTAGACACAGCCCTCAGCTCCGCAAACAGGAAAATCGCTACATAACTTGAAGAACAAATCAGTCTCCTGAAGAATCAGAGAGGGCGCGTCTCCTGGTGGTCAGGTCCAGGCACCACATAGTATGCTATCTCAGAGGCTCTAAGCCTCGCTGGGGGTGCATACCTGTAATCTTAGCACTTAGGAGGAGGCAGGAAAATTAAGAGTCCAAGGTCATCTTTTCTACTACACATTGAATTCGCAGCCAGCCTGGGCTCCTTGACACTTGTCTCAAAATACCAGGAAACACTGCTCTAGCTGGTCTGCAACTGTCTGCCTGCGGACGCAAGGTTTCCACTATTCCAGGAGCACTTTTTCTTTGTTGAGAGGAGCTGTGGTCACCACAGTGTTTTTCCTGAGGCAAGTGTGGAGATGTACCATCTCCCATGTCTATCTCTCCCTCTTGCTCCATGCCACCTCTCCCTCTACAGGCTAGGCAAACTCTCTACCCCTAAACTACATTCTCACAGGGTCTCACTAAACAGCCCATGTGGATGCTGAGCTCACTCTACAGCCCAGCACAGTGCTGCACTTAGGATTCTCCTCTCAGCCCTCTGACTATCAGGATGCACACCATGCCCCGCCAGGTACTTTCTTGGCCATTCCTCCCTTTCCTTTAGGACCAAATTCTAGCATGGGGTCTTTTTTGGTTGTTGTTTTTTTCCTCCCTTGCTAAATAGCCAAGGAAATTAAAAGAAAGAAATCATGAGAGTCTAAATCTGAAAAAGAAAAGAACAGAAGAGACAAGAACAGGAGAGATGAGGGGAGGGTGGGGCAGCTTTACCCTGAGTCTCTTGATTCCAGCTCTCGTGATTTGCTGGCAGTCATAGAGTTCTATCCGCTCAAGGCTGTGACAGCTCTTCAAGTGTTCCAGGGACGCGTCGGTGATTAGTGGGCAGTTGTCCAGCTCAATCACCTCCAGCTGGTCATGGGCGCAGGCCCCATTCCCTAGGTGACGAATCCCATCATCTGTGATCAGCTCACAGTGTGAAAGACTCTGCAACCAGAGAGCAAAGATGGACAACAAGTATCTTCTGACGTTCCTCCTGCCATGCATGATGAAATAAGAATGCAGACCAAAGCTGATGGTCTCTGCTTTCAGCACGTATGACTGACTTTTTCCTTTTCCCCTTCGGTATAATTCTAAATTTATTTTGTGAATTCATGGAATGACTGTGAACTACTTCACAAAGTAGGACAGCTTTAAAAATTACCCACCCCTACCAGGTATGGTGGTACACCCCCTTTAATTCCAGCAGAGGCAGGAGGATCTCTGTGAGTTCAAGGCCAGCTTGGTCTACATAGGAAGTTCCAGGACAGCCAGGGCTACATAGTGAGACCACAGTGCCTCAAAGAAAAAAAAAACAGTCCACTCCTCAAATTTACACTTTTCTTATCTGTAGGGTAAGACAGGGCTCAAGCTTTTCATACTCAACATTTTAGGAAATCGGAACTAAATATGGAGTATCTCCTTCAGGGGCACAAATGAACAGCTAGCTGACAATGACTTTTACAGCCATCAGGTGCTAGTATCATACATAATCTGACCAATTTTCCTTAAACTCTAGTTCTGGGAAACTCAGAACACCCAACCCAATTCTGGATAGCACCAAACACACAAAGTGTTCTGTATTCTTTTTTGACCTTGTCCTGGAAAGCATTGGTTGATTTTGGGTTTTTGTTATGCAAATGCACATTACTATATAACCCACGGTGGCCTTAAACTCTAGGTTATCCTCCTACCTCAGCCTCCTAAGTGCTGGGATTATGGGCACACAGCACCACACCTGGTTAGCAATGTAACTGATTAGATATAACACATAAAACACTCTAAGGTGGGATTGTGGAATGGCTCTGTGGGTAGAAGAACTTGCCTCCAAGCCTGGTGACCTGACCTCGCTCCCCAGAAGCCATGCAGAGGTAGCAGGAGGGAATTGACTCCAGAAAGTTTTTCTCTGACCTCCACATGTGCATCATGGCATACGTGCACACACACAGTAAGATATTAAAGAGAGCCTGAGCTCAGTTCCCAGCACCCACATGATGGCTCACAACCACCTGTAACCCCAGTTCCAGGGGATCCAACAGGAACAAAGTAAGTAAGTGGTGTGTTCAGGCAAAACACCCAGACACATAGAGTAAAGTAAATAAATCTAATTTTTTTAAATAAATTAATTAATTAAAAATACAAAACACTGAAAGTCAAACTCACCAATACTTGAAGCCGAGGACAGTGTATAGAAAGCTGGATTAATGTGCTGTCTGTGATCTAAAAAAACAAATAAGTTTGTGGTAGGTAAAATTCTATCTCACACACACACACACACACACACACACACACACACACACACACACACACACCCCCCACCCAAACTCCAAGGGCGTTTGATGCTAGCTAGTATGGGGTTAGTCTCTTTAGGGTCTACCTCAGACATCCCCCCCCCCTTTTTTTGTTTTTTCGAGACAGAGTTCCTCTGTGGAGTGTTGGTGCCTGTCCTGGATCCCGCTCTGTAGACCAGGCTGGCCTCGAACTCACAGAGATCTGCCTGGCTCTGCCTCCCAAGTGCTGTGGGATGTTCTGTATGGCAAATGTGTTGCTCTGATTGGTTGGTAAATAAATCACTGATTGGCCAGTGGCCAGGCAGGAAGTGTAGGCGGGACAAGGAGGAGAATAAAGCTGGGAAGTGGAATGCTGAGTCAGAGACACTGCCAGCCGCCACGATGACAAAAAGCATGTGAAGATGCCGGTAAGCCACGAGCCATGTGGCAAGGTACAGATTTATGGAAATGGATTAATTTAAGCTGTAAGAACAGTTAGCAAGAAGCCTGGTACGGCCATACAGTTTGTAAGCAATATAAGTCTCTGTGTTTATTTGCTTGGGTCTGAGCTGCTGTGGGACTGGCAGGTGAGAGAGATTTGCCCTGACCCTGGGCCAGGCAGGAAAACTCTAGCTACACCCAAGTGCTGGGATTAAAGGTGTGTGCCACCACCTCCCGGCCTCAGACATCTGCTTTTTGCTTTTGAAAAAATGATTTCCCTAAGCTTTGCCCAAACTGCCAGACTTCTAAGAACCTTTTCTGGGTTTTAAGCCTTCACTGTTTAAAACTGTTACTTTTTTTTTTAATTGTGTTACATTTTAATTAAATTAGCCATCTCTCCATTTCCACTAAATATTTTAAACTAAATAAAAACTTTAGAACTTCTGTCCACCAGACCTTAATGCTGTCCTTTCTTTGGACCAGTAGAGGGAAAAACCTCTATATATGATCCATGAAAAATTAATGTCAAAACACCCTTAAAATTTTAGGTATCTGCCCCACCTCCACAAGGCATACCACCACATAGGACAATTGGGGGCACTTTTGGAACCTGGGTGGCATATGAATATTATAGGAGGAAAATGTTGCAGAGTGATCCTAGGACTAGAAGTAAACCGTAAGTTTGCCTCTGTTCCAGCTCCTCTCCAACCCTTATTTCTATTAGACAGAGCTTGCGAGGCTCTGAAAACTGCTGAGTGTAGAGGGCAGGTTCAGAGGGACTGACACTAGAAAAGACACAGAGGGCACTCAGGCATGCACAAGAGTAAGGCGATGGATGGGGAGGTACTCAGTTACTAACAAACAGTAGCTGTCATGCAGTGTCTGCTCAATGATTTTATAGCACAAACACCACTCCCTGTGGGCCTGGAAGATACCCCAGGGAGTGGAGAATCAGGGACATGATCAAGTACTCCAGTGTTCTACATAAGGGAGAGGTTTAGGCATTCTGCAAGACCGTACTGTTTCTATCACGATGCTCGGTCAACAAAGCCCGTGCTTACCTGAACACATTCTTCTAGGTCCATCTTTTCAAGCTCATGGCAGTTCTATGAAGTATAATGCCATAAAATTCAGTACAAACTTTTAAAACATTGGCAAATTATAAAAGCCAAAGAAAACAAGGAGACTATCCTCAAACCCATGATCCCCTGCCTCAGCTTCCCATGGGCTATGACTAATTATAAATGTTTATCATCATCCTGAATAAATCATAAATTTAAGAAGACTTTGACCACAGTAAAATGTCTCAATTATTTCACACTTAAATACTGAACATTTTATAAGTTCAAAGGAATAATTTTACCAAAAATTAATACTAGGCTAACAACGAGATTTATTTTTTTTCAAGGCAAGGTTTCTCTGTGTAACAGCCCCGACTATTCTGAAACTCATTCTGTAGATCAGGCTGGCCTCGAACTCACAGAGATCCACCTATGCCTGCCTCTGCCTCCCGAGTGCTGGGATTAAAGGCATGCACCACCACACCTGGGCAAAGAGATCTTTTTTAAATAAAAAAAAAAAAAAAACTCAGCAAATTACATTCCCCTTATTCTTTAATATTGATCGAAGTCAATACAATTTAAAATGTAGTTATTGAGCCATGCAGATCTGGGTTTAAGGCCAGCCTGATTTGCAGAGCGAGTTCCAGGACGGTCAGGGTGTTACACAGGGAAGCCCTGTCTCAACAAAGAAACAAACTAACACAACAACAAAAAAGGAAATGCTGTTATTCTACAGTGTTTTATATAAACCACTATAAGTATAAAATCTCCTGGAAGTACAGAAAAGTCTCTAGTGACTAGTATGTTATTAACCAGGCTTGTATCTCCTTGAACGCTCTTCTCGCTCAATTACATACCAAGTCAGAGGTTGGTTGGTTTGTTTAGGTTTTTTTGAGACAGGGTTTCTCTGTGTAGTTTTGGTGCTGTCCTGGAACTCTCTCTGTAGACCAGGCTGGCATCAAACTCACAGAGATCCACCTGCCTCTGCCTTCTGTGTGCCACCACTGCCCAACAGCAAATCAGAGTTTTATAAAGTACCAGAAGCCTCTGCTTAGTTTAATTCACCATCTTAATAAAACTGCAGAGAACTCAAAGTCTCCCCAAACAGCGGTCTCCAACGTGTCTGCACTTCCAGAACCGGCTGCCTTTTCTGCGGGCATCAGGTCTACAGCTCTCATAAGAAGGCTCAGACAGCCACAGAAGAGGTCCCCCTGCCTCACACCCACTTCTGCTGCCGCCATGCTAAGTTTCTCTTTTTGCTGCTTCCCTCTGAAATAACACTCTCCCCCACCCCTGAAAACCTATGGAAGCCAACTACAGAACCTGGAGAAACACTTACCCTGGCCAGAGTAGTGAAGCCCACATCTGTTAACTGGGAACATCTGGCCACTTCTAGTATTCTATTAAAAGAACAAAGTGAAAAGAAAGTCAGGTCTTTGTTCATGAAACCTGGTTTTACTAAAACAGCAAGAATTTAAGAAAGCAATCTTTTATTCTCTAACACTTATAATACAGAGTGACTTTAATAACTGAACAAGGTTGTACGCAGATCTTGCTGTTTGTTCTCATATAGTTATCATAAAGAGGTCCTGTCAATACCACATATATCAGGGTGATGTAATCAAATACATAGGAATATAACTGAAGCTTGTAGTTAATGACAAATTGCATTAAAAGCCTTCTTGATGACACATTGCTTACCCAAAGAGGGCAGCCTGCTCCTAGAAAACAAAGGAAATGGAGATAAATACTCTGTTTCAGTTCATCTGTCACTGAAGTAAACTATTTTCTGTCTTTCATGTAGGTCTCTGCAGATTTCAACAGCTTTAAAAACTTGATGAGAGGACAGGTCTAGCCCAGGTATGAAGCCCTAAGCTCGAAGCTACCTGTCTCCTCCCACAGGCCCTGGGGCGTGCAGAAGGAAGCCAGGACGGCGACCACTCTCCTACTCGGCACCTGCTAACCACCGACCTCATACGACCCACAGGGCTGGGAGATCAAACGTTGTCCTTCCTGTGTAAAGACTGGTAACATCTGTGCTATGTGATGGCACCAAAGATCATGTTCCCCTAAACACCCTTACAAAGTCAAAAGGTAAAGTCAAAGCACAATAAATCCTCCTCAGATAAAAAGAAATGGATGCTGTAAGGAGAACACAGTCAGAGCAGAGCCTTGGCCCTCGCACAATGTAACAGACACACAGGAGGGTGGAGCTGAGAGCCCTAGCTCTAAAGCAGAGAAGTCTTAACACCAACTGTCTTCTGGAGGTTTGGTTATTTCTCAGCCTCTGAGAAGAACTCTACTCTAGGCTGAAGGTACTATAAACCAGGAAGAAACCTCGATACTGTCAGCAACTATAGTTAGGCCATCACTAGGCAACCATCAAAAAAGTCTTTAAGATTTGTTGCTTTATAATTGTTACTATATGTATGAAAGTGCCTTCGTGGGCTCTGGTACCAGAGGCCTGTCTCGGAATCCTTGCTCATGCACTTACTGGCTGTGGACTCTCACTGGTCACTTCACCCCTGGACTCTGGCTTTCTCTTCTAGGATATGAAGATAGAAATGGTGCTTATGTTAAAAATCAGTATTTGTAAAGCACCTAAAACAGTACCTAACTATCACTGTAAGTCACTGGGGACATTCACACTCACTACAAAACAGCATTGTGCACGCTCTTCCAGAATACCACTAGGGTTTGATACTATGTGCATCCTAACAGAAAACTCTGGGTAAACACCCAGACACTCCCATATTCAAGCAGAGAAGACCTACAGAGTAACATAGCTATTCTAAAAGATGATAAACATGGTTAGGCATGGTGGTGCACGCCTTTGATTCCAGCACTCAGGAAGCAGAGGCAAGTGGATCTCTGAGTTTAGGGCCAGCTTGCTTTACATAATGAGTCCTAGAATAGCCAGAGCTACAGAATAGAGAGACCCTGCCTCAAAATAAATAAATAAATACATACATACATAAATAAATACATAAATACATAAATAAAAGAGGATAAACACAAAAACTTCTCCTGCAGAACTAAGTTTAAAACATTTTTCTTCCATGGATTACAACAATATAAGTAGCCTCAGGATGGGCTTTTAAAAAGTGGAGAAAGGAATCTCTGTGAGTTCGAGGCCAGCCTGGTCTACAGAGCAAGTTCCAGAACAGCCAGGGCTACACAGAGAAACCTATCTTGAAACACCAAAAAAGTGGAGAAAGGAATTTTAAGAAAGTACTAATTTTTTCTATTATGACCAGTAAGACCGATTCCTTATTCATGACATTAACAAAGCCAGTAGGTAGTCAGCTAGAAGGGTAGTGTCACTGCAGTGCCTTAAAGTTGGAAAATTCCAAGGGAAAAACATAGACAAAGGCAGCTTCTTCATCCCTTGATTTTTTTTTTTTAAGCTAAATAAACCATGTTTACCTAAGCCGAGGGCAGTTCTGACCTAGTGCGTTCAGGATGGCATCTGTGATATTGGAGCACCCAGAAGCACAGAGGGACTGCAGCTTATGACACCCTCTGCATATGGTGATGAGACCTTCATCTGTGATTTGCTAAAACAGACAGAAAAGTGAGAAAAATCAATATACAGTATTTATAAAAAAAAAAAAGAATACTTTTGTGGAAGCAGCAACACTGAGGAGTCCAGGCGGCCTGGACATCTACCAGATACCCCAAACCTAGGGGCAACAGCTCCTCCTAGTTCCTGCCAACTCCGCAGCTGTGTCCACTCTGTCTGAAGACAGGGGTTAGACTCTTTTCAACCTAATGGTACTGGGCATGTCATGGTGAGGGCTTATTTAAAAAGCTATAAAACCTGAGAACAGTTAAAAACATCAGTCTTCTTTTTCTTTTACGAAACAGGATTTCTCTGTGTAGCTCTGGCTGTCCTGGAACTCACTCTGTTGACTATGTTGGCCTTGAACTCACAGAGATCCGCCTGCCTCTGCCTCCCGAGTGCTGGGATTAATGGTGTGTGCCACTATGCCCAGTTAGAATAGCAGTCTTTGAAGAGTATAAACATATTTACAAGCATAGCTGAAAATTATTAATGAAAAAGTAAATTGTAACCTGGGTGGCGCACGCCTTTAATCCCAGCACTCGGGAAGCAGAGGCAGGTGGATCTCTGTGAGTTTGAGGCCAGCCTGGTCTACAGAGAGAGTTCCAGGACAGGCACCAAAACTACACAGAGAAACCCCGTCTCGAAAAACAAACAATTATTAAGTAAAATGTCGGAGTTGCGTGTATGAGCAAACACAGATAACCCTAACACTGGAAGGACCGAGGCAGGAGGATACATTCAAGGCCATTCTGGGCTACATAATCAGACTATGTTCAAAATAAAAAAATACACAAAGGAAAGGGTATATATAAACATTTGTGTGGGTCTCACTATGTAACTCAGCATGCTTTGAGTTCATGGCAATTCTTCTGCTTCAGGCGATCAACTGCTGGGATCACAGGTGAGTCACTAGGCCTGTTCTGTCTTTGAAACAGGGTTTCACTATGCAGCCTAGTCTGGTCTAGAGCTTGCTACATAACGCACGCTGGCCTTCAACTCATGGTTCTCTTGTCCCAATCTGCTCAGTGCTGGGGTTTCAGTCCAGGGATTATAGGTGTGTGTCATTATGCCTGTAAGCTACTGTTTTTGATAAAACTTTTGGAATGTTACTAGGAGGAATTACTAACACAGAAGCATTATGGGAAGGGGATGCTTACTAAGCAAGTCTGCAGGTTCAAAGTCACCAGCTCAGGGCAGTGTGCACCTATGTACTTGAGAGCTTCATCTTCCAGCTGAAAAGATTGAAAACATAAGAGATTACTGACATTGTTTTAAAGGAGAAAGAGACTATACACATTCATCAATACATTCTCAATATAGCTAACCAAGTTGCAAAGGAACAATGAACCACAAAAAAAGGAAAAAAAACCCCAAAAAACAAAAAACATGATCACATCTCATTCCTAGTAGTAATAGTTACCAGGATTTTTTGAAGTCAGTTCTTGTCATACCAAATTCTTATTATTAATATCAAATCCAGAAAAGGTTAAGGTTAGGATTCTCTCTCTCTCTCTCTTTTGTGAAAGGAGGCTTTCTGGACTCCCTATGTGGACCAGGTTGGCCTTGACCTGTAGTCCTGTGTCTGCCTCCAGAGCTGGGACCACAAGCTTGAGTCATCATGTCTGAATATGTATTTTGTTTCTAACAAATTAAATATTCACGGTAGGTTGTAGAAAGATTACAAAGGCAAAATAAGTTTCACACTTCTACAGCCCATAGAGAGTTTTTATTGTCTTTTTAGACAAGCTTTGGGGGAAGGAGCTGAGAACGGAAGCCCAGTGTTTATCTGCTCCTGAGGACTTACAGCACTGGGGACAGATGGGAGGAATTGATCATAGCGATGCATGCCAATCAATATTTTTCAGGATTCCACAAATCACCAGAAGCTCAAGCTGTTGTTTTAAAGCAATCATATATCCAAAGTTCTGCTTCAAACAAAAGAACTCTTTCCATTATGGCAAAACAGTGGGTGAGGGCCCTTGGAATGGAGTCCATGGTACAGCTTTAGCAGTCCCCAGAACAAGCATCAGGCACATGCAATTCCACTACTCTCGGATCAGTTCTTTCTAATGCTACCTCATCAGTTTGTTTTGTTTTACCCAAGAAACTGAGTTTTACTTATTTTTATTATTACTTTTTTGTTTGTTTTGGCTTTTTTTTGAAACAGAGTCTTATGATGTAGCTTAGGCTGGCTTTGAACTCACAAGGATCCTCCTGTCTCAGCTTCCCAAATTCTAGGATTGCAGGGATGTACCTCCATGCCTGGGTTTGAGAACTTTTTAATGAAATGTTATACTTGTGGCATTACAGCAGGAGGTAAAATGAGACCTTTAAAATGCAGTTTCTGCAGACTTGGCACATCCACGAACTGCTGGTTATACGAGTGTAAATTGCCAACATTGCCTTGTTTGCCATTCATCTCAGAGTAATAAGGAATAAAGAAACGTTCTTTCTAGTACAAATGACACTACATGAGTGTCTGTCCACCTTGTCCCTTCTCCCCCATTTACACTTTGGTCAGATATTAATCTTCCCATGCTTCAATTCTGAGAGAAACACTAACTTTTGGTAAGCACGTGTCTTCACAGTCAGCAGCATCTACAAGTGCCACTTTCTTTAGGACAGACATCTCGGGGTACCTCCAAAGCGCTCACAGCCCCTCACTCTCACGAGCACTCCACAGAGCATTACCTGTGTGCAGCCTTTTAAGAACAAGGCCTTGAGACCCCCACAGCCTCTCACTAGTGCTTGAATGCCATCCTTGGTTACTTGGTCACACCAGGAAATGTTCAACTGCTCCAACAGTGGACACCCCTCACTTAGGATAAAACAAAACAAGACAAGCGTGTCACTACCTCCAGTCCCAAAGCCACCGGTCTCATCCTTGCGATGTTCACGGGGTGGGACTGTGTCACTAGGCAGGGAATTGTAAATCCAGTTTACCAACAAGCACAAAGCACATACTGTTTTTCAGATACAGGTCGGAAATGGAAAGTAATGACTAGTATAACTTTACAGAGTAACCAATGACAGTTCAGATTCAACCTCAGATTTTCCACCAAGGAATTTTACTAGTATCAAAGTTCTAGTGAATTTTTATTTAAAAAAAAATTACAAAGGCTCTATGTATTTTCTTATCTGGGACATTTCTAGAGTTCTGTTTCTGTAGGCCAAAGTGAGGCTTTGCTCACCCTTTGTCTACACTAGCTTCTCCTTTGACTCTGCCTGTTCCGGTCAGTGTAGTCCCATGCGGAACCCCGAAAGCTTTAAGCCTTCTGTCACTGCAAACTGCTCAAAGTGGCTCTAAGTGCCCTGCTTATCTACAGGACAGCCCTTAAATAAAGCCAGGAGACCGAGGGTTAAGCTCATCTTCAACATAAACAATCTGACTCCAGGCAAGTCACTTTAAGAAGTTTGTCTGAACCTCTCAGTGCAAGCTTAGCCACATCCGGTCCCAGGTTTGCATGAACTGAGACACCCACACCTATCACCAGCTAGTGTAGCAACACAATATATGCTTATAAGTCTTTTTCATCTCTAGGCTCTGTGGGACTGATGAGCACAACATTTTAGACACATTTCATGGCTGCTTCAGTAGTACCCGGAACCTCACAACCTTTTAGATTTTTTAAAAATCTGTAAATGCTTGTCCTATCTACTTCATAAAATAAATGAGATCATTTGTGTGGAAGTGTCTTATAAATGTTAAGTGTCACCATATTTATGGCCTTACATAGCAAGCAGGTTTAGACACATTGTGTATTCACAAGGGAGTTCCAAAAGGAGCCATGTTTTATCTCATTTACACTGTCTCATTCTTCCTCTCTCTGAGATAGGGTCTTGCTATGTAGCCCAGGCTGGCTTAATACTATGTAGCCCAGGCTGGGCTTGAACATGCAGGAGTTCTCTTGCCTCAGCCTCCTTCACGCTGGGATTATAGGTATGCAGCACCATAATAAACAGAGTTTGGTTAATTTTTTATTTATTTATTTTTGGTTTTTCGAGACAGGGTTTCTCTGTGTAGCTTTGTGCCTTTCTTGGAACTCACTTGGTAGCCCAGGCTGGCCTCGAACTCACAGAGATCCGCCTGGCTCTGCCTCCCGAGTGCTGGGATTAAAGGCGTGCGCCACCACCGCCCGGCAATTTTTTTTTTTTTAAAGATTTATTTATTTATTATGTATACAGTGTTCTGTCTGCATGTATTCCTGCACACCAGAAGAGGGCACCAGATCTCATTATAGATGGTTGTGAGTCACCATGTGGTTGCTGGGAATTGAACTCAGGACCTTTGGAAGAGCAGCAAGTGCTCTTAACCACTGAGCCATCTCTCCAGCCCGAGTTTGGTTAATTTTTTTTTTTTTTTGCTTTTTCTATACAGGGTTTCTCTGTGTAGCCCTGGATGTCCTGGAATTCACTCTGTAGACCAGGCTGGCCTCAAACTCACAGATCTGCCTGCCTTTGCCTCCCAAGTGCTAGGATTAAAGGTACGTACCACCACCACCGCTTGCCCCAGCGTAATTCTTAATGTGTGTAAGCAGAACCAAACCCATAGTATCCTGATTCCTTAGGAAAGGCTAGAGTAGATTCCCAAAGGGAATGAGTATTTCACTCTTCCTCTTCTTCTTCTTTTTTTCAGTTTTTTGAGACACGGTTTCTCTGTGTAGCTTTGGAGCCTTTCCTGGATCTCGCTCTGTAGCCCAGGCTGGCCTCAAACTCCCCAGTACTGGGATTAAAGGCATGCGCCTCCACCACCCAGCCACTCTTCCTTTAAAATACATTTTATTTGGGAACTGAAGGCAGGAGTTTCAGAAGTTCAAGGCTAGCCTGCAATATGTGACATGCTGTCTTAATTTTTTTTTTCTAAGTCAGGTTTGGTAGCACTCTGTAATTCCAGATAGTTCAGAGGCTGAGGCAGAAGGATCATAAATTCAAAGCCTTCCTGAACTATAGAGTGAATTCAAGGTCAGTCTGGTCTACATAGTGAGACACTATCTAAAAATTAAAAGGCAAAATCAAACAAAAAAACCTCAAGAGACCTCTGGAGGCAGAGACAGGTTGATCTCCCAGTTCAAGGCCAGCTTGGTCTACATAATAAGTTAGAGGGATACAAAGTGAGACCCTGTCTTAAACCACAACAAACAAAAATGAAATCGGGAGGGGTAAGGGAGGCTGGGCATTGAGCTCGGGGACAGCACCTGCTTTGTACATGTAAAACCCCAGGTTCAGCTGTAGAGAAAATAAAAACCTTTCACAAACACTCTCTTCTAGAGTCTCTGTCACTCAGCTGGAGAATGTCTCATTGTGAAGTCCAGACTGGCCTTGAACTAATGACCCTCTTGCCCCAGCCTCCCCGGTACTGGGTTCTTGGTGTGAACAACACCCAGCTTTAGTCTACTTAGAAACCATGACAATACTGAAATGATGACCACTGTCACCACGTGCCAGGCAGCTTTCAAAGCCCTTTATACATGTCAGGTTGAAGTACATGAAGGTCTCTTCTACCCCAAACTCTTGAATACAGGCACCATTTCTACAGTGCAGGCTGATAGCATCTCACGGAATTCTAGGAACAATGCTCCAAGATTACAAGGAGAGGCTCACTGAGCCATGTTCAGCCAAAGCTGTCAGAGGACAACCTGGCTCCAGACTCCATTTTAACCACTAAGGTGTAACAACACATGCCATTTTCTCTTCTTTTTATTTTTCATTATTTATTTATTGGTTTTGTCAAGACGGGGTTTCTCTGTCTCCAAAGGTAGCTTTGGAGCCTGTCCTAAAACTCACTCTGTAGACCAGGCTGGCCTCGAACTCACAGAGATCCGCCTGCCTCTGCCTCCCAAGTGTTGGGATTAAAGGTGTGCCACCACCACCGCCTGGCTTTTTTTCTTTTTAAAAAAGCAGTCCTCTATGAACATCTACTCACTAATGGATAACCCACACTGCTCTGTTTCAGAATTCCTCGTTATCTCTGGACACTTCATATTAATGTACCCTGTGATTTGAATGTCAGTAGGAGCAAGAGAAAAGGTCTTCTGGGAACTACAGCACACACCCGTAAAACAATACTGTCAACTCCAACTGTATTATCAGTTATTTTTTCCAAGTATGTATTAATAGGCATACTATTAGAGGAAATTTACCTCAGAGCTTTGAGAGACATGTTTGTTATTGATGTACAGGAAGCCAAGTCGAGGTGCCTGAGTTTGGAGCAGAACTTGCTAAGGCTAGTACAGGTACTGCAAATAGAGAAAAAGAAAATAATGAATATTTAAGGTAAGAACACATACCCACGAAGATGTTTCAGTGGGTAAAAGCGCTTGCCATGCAATCTGAACGAGTCGGGTTCAAGAAGACCCTCCCGAAAGTTGTCCTCTGACCTCACACTCGTGCTGTGACAATTGTGTGGCTGCACTCCCAGTCACATAAAAATAATAAATAAAATTTCCAGAAACATCTGAAAGATAGCACCAAAGCTCTATTTCTGTTTTCACTCAATTTTCTTTTCTTTTTTTTTTTTTTTTTTGGTTTTTCGAGACAGGGTTTCTCTGTGTAGCTTTGCGCCTTTTCCTGGAACTCACTTGGTAGCCCAGGCTGGCCTCGAACTCACAGAGATCTGCCTGGCTCTGCCTCCCGAGTGCTGGGATTAAAGGCGTGCGCCACCACCACCCGGCTTCACTCAATTTTCTATTCAAAAAACTTTCTGCAGCAATGAAAGAACCTGACTTTTTTGGGTTTTTTTGTTTGTTTGTTTTCAAGACAGGGTTTCTCTGTGTAGCTTTTGGAGCCTGTCCTGGAACTCACTCTGTAGACCAGGCTGGCCTTGAACTCACAGAGATCAACCTGCCTCTGCCTCGTGAATGCTGTGACTAAAGGTGTGTGCCACCACTGCCTGGCCTCCGTCCAATGTTTTATGATTTGTGTGTATGTACAGTGCTGGGGGGTCAACCCCTGGATCTTACACATGCTAAACAAGCCCTCCACTACTGGGTCAAACCCAATACCCTATATGAATACATTTAATTTTAAGATTTTTCACATATATATATGATGTATGTATACATGTATCAAAGCATACCTTACAGCCCTTATGGAGAGGTCAGCGGACAACTCTTAGGAGTTGTTTTTCTGCTTCCACCATGGTTTCTGGGGATCAAACTCCAATCATCAGGCTTGTGCAGCCATGATGAGCCCACGAATACTTTAAAGAATATATAAGCTTGTAACTGGAGAAATGAATCAGCAGTTAAAAGCATTGGTTGTGTGGCTGGAGAGATGGCTCGGTGGATAAGAGCAGTAGCTGCTCTTCTTCCAGAGGACCTGGGTTCAGATCCCTGTATCTAAACAGTAGCTCAATATTGTCTGTAACTCCAGTTCCCGGGGATCTGACACCCTCACACAGACATATATGCAGGCAAAACACCAATGGCACATGAAATAAAAATAAATTTATATATATAGTATTGGCTGCTCTTCTAGAGGACCTGGGTTTAATGTGGCTCACAACCATCTGTAACTCCAGTTCCAAGTAATCTGATGCCCTCTTCTGGCCTCCACAGGCACCAGCTGCAATGTGGTGCACAGATATACACAGAAGCTCATGACTTTGTCTCCATAAAACTGGCATAGAACTGGGTCCAGTGCTCGCCTATTATATCGGCTGGAATTCTCAGATCTCCAGCTGGATTAACACAAGCCTCGCACAGCTGCAGCTTTAACCTTTCTGTGGAAATTGGCTTAGTCTGCCCTCGGCAGCTGCTGTTTCCTGACATAACGCTACTCTCTCCCTGCACACACGTAGAATCCTTGTCCTGTGCCATGCCACTTTGTGGAGCTGGTGCCTGCTGTATTTCTTGTAGAAAGTCATGTGGGTCTTAGGAGTATTTCACCACGTCGGCAGGTGCACTATCAGCACAGAAAGAAAGGTGGGCCAGAAATGGGAACATAGAGAAAACTTTCTTTTTTGAAGCAAGGTCTTACACTGTAGTCCAGGTTGGCCTTCAACTAACATACCCCTCCTGTCTCAGCCTGCCAAGTGCTAGCATTATAGGCATGTGCCACAACATGCCCTCAGAGCACCAGAAACTAACTTCTCATCAGTCTCCAATATTCTATTATTATTATTTCCATCTCCCTTTTTGGCCGCAGGATTTGTTTTGTTATTTGTTTGCTTTGCATTTTTGAGACAGTGTTTCAAAATGGATGTGCAGAGCTCCTGAGTCCCTTGCAGGGACCACTGCCATGTCTAGAATGAGATGAAACTGGGTAGCTAACTTCTCTGAGGGCTTCACTTAACAGTTTTATGTATTGTGTGCCCATAAAAGTTTAAGTCAGTTAGTTTTAAAAAAGAAAAAAGTCAGCCAGGCGGTGGTGGCACAAGCTTTTAATCCCAGCACTCAGGAGGCAGAGGCAGGCAGATCTCTGTGAGTTCAAGGCCAGCCTGTTCTACAGAATGAGTTCCAGGACAGCCAGGACTACACAGAGAAACCAAAACAAAAAAAGAAAAAGAAAAAAGCCTGCTGAGGTTTTGGTGGGACCTGCATGGACTCTATAAACTAATTCCTCCATTTTAAGTTGTCTTTACTTGCTCTTAGCAAGGTTTGCAAGTTTTCAGTGTAGAGAGCTTGTACATCCTTCACTGCATTTATTTGTGGATACTCATTCCTTTTTAAGATAAATCTTGGTGAGTTTGCCTTTGGGTGTGTGTCCACGCACAGATGTGGTGGCCATGGGACCTTGGGTGCTGTTCTTCAGTCACCTTTCTTGACATAAGATTTCTCAGTGACCAAGAGCTCACCCAGGAGACTAGGCTGGCCGGCCACTGAGTACCTGAGTCCCAGGAATCTGTCTCTTCTTCCACAAGTGTGTGCCACAACTTCCAGCTTTATAAAGTGGGTTCTAGAGAACAGAACTCAGGTATCAGTACTATTCTGACTGATCGATCTCTCCAAGCTCCAAGTGTTGTTTGTTTTTGCTTAAGACAGCAGGGTCTCATGTAGCACAGGCTGGCCTCAAACTTACTATGTCACCAAGGATAGTCTTAATTTCCTAATCTGGTCTCCAACCTCCTAAGTGCCAAGATTACAAGCATGTTTCACACTGCCTAACTTGAAACTTTTTTCTTAAATTTCGTTTTTTCATTTTATCACTAATGTATAGAAACAGAATTTTTTGAATATTGATCTTCTATCCAGAGAATTATTACTATTATTGTTGTTGTTATTATTATTATTATTGTTGTTGTTTGTTTTTTGAGACAGGGTTTCTTTGTATATTCCTGGCTGTCCTGGAACTAGCTCTGTAGACCAGGCTGGCCTCAAACTCATAGAGCTTCGCCTGCCTCTGTCTCCTGAGTGCTGGGACTAAATGCTGAAGATATTATTATTATTATTATTGTGTGCATAATTATTGAGTGTGGGCACAAATGTGCTTTGGTATGTCTGTGGATGTCACAGGCCAGCTTTGGGCCCCAGCGGTTGAACACAGGTCGTTAGGTTTGCACAGCAGTGCTGTTGTACCCAACAAGTCAACTCACTGGCAATAAGGAGCTTTTAAAACTTGTTCATGAATAGTAGCATTCTTTTGGTGGTTTATGATTTTTAAAATCATTTATTTATTTAGTTAGTTTCTTCAAGACAGGTTTCTCTGTGTAGCCCTTGCTGTCTTGAAACTCACTATGTAGACCAGGTTGCCCTCAAATTTAGATATCCACCTGCCTTGACCTCCTTGCTAGGATTAAAGACGTGAATCGCCACGCCCACCCACCACAGTAACTTTAGCATCTTATATAGCTGAGGCCAGCCTTGAACTCCTGATCTTTTGGTTATAGGTATACACAACCACCTCTGAATTGCCTTATGACTGTCTTTAAGTTTAAAAAACATGGGTGTGTGTGTGTGTGTGTGTGTGTGAGGCATCAGATCTCCTGGAATTGAATGTGGTGCTAGAAGCAACCCTGAAACAGTGGTACACTCCCTTCCCTGCTGCACCATCTCTCCTGGCCCTAGTTTATGATTTTGCATGAACAGATTTGTAGGATTATTACCCATAAATAAGGTTTTTTACTTCACTGTTTCGGTTTGCTCATTTATTTTCCATCTGTCCAGATGTGTTAAAAAACAAAACCCTAGCCAGGCATGGTGGCACACATTTTTTTTTTTTTTTGGTTTTTTGAGACAGGGTTTCTCTGTGTAGCTTTGCGCCTTTTCCTGGAACTCGCTTTGGAGACCAGGCTGGCCTCGAACTCACAGAGATCTGCCTGGCTCTGCCTCCCGAGTGCTGGGATTAAAGGCGTGCGCCACCACCGCCCGGCTGGTGGCACACATTTTTAATTGCAGTACTCAGGAGGTGTATTTGAGGCCAGCCTGGTCTATAGCGAGAGTTCCAGGACAGCCAGAGCTACACAGAGAAACCCTGTCTCCACAAACCAAAACCAAAACCAAAAAAAATACCCCCAAACTCCCTGCACTGGCTAGATGCTCCAGTGCAGTGTGGACTAGAAACAGAGTGGGTTGGGAGTTTCCCTCAGTGACAAAGGTGCATATTTAATGTACTTCAGACCCTAGGTTTAATACCTGTTGTATTCTACCTGCCCTACCCCAGCCCTCAAAGTGGCACAATTACTTTGCTTCTGACCTTAGAGGGGAAAAAAAGTCTTTCACCATTAAGTAAAATGTTACAGCAGCACCATTAAGTAAAATGTTACAGCAGGGTGTGGTGGCACACAGCCACCATCTAGACTTTGGGAAGGCTGATGCAGAAGGGTTCAGGCAAGACTGGACTACGAGAGGAAACACAACAGCACATTTGTCCTTTCTTTCATAGAACCGGGGTTAAACTGAAGGCCTCACATTGCTAGGGTGGGGTTCTATCATTGATTTATGTCTCTCATATCTCTAGGTATTTTATTTTTTTGTGACAGGGTATTATTGAGTTACCCAAGCTGACCTTGACGTCACTCTGTGGCCTAAGTAAAACCTGAACTGTCCTTTCTCCTGTCTCAGTTTCCTATGTAGGTTGGATTATGTAGCCTTGGCCAGTCTGGTACTTGCTATGGAGCCCAGAACACCTTAACTCTTTTACCTCAAGCCCCTGAATGCTGAGATTACAGGTGTGGGCTCCCTTGTCGGGCACATCAAACAAGGAAAATTCCCTAAAATTATTCGCTTAAAATAGTATTTTAACAGAATGCCTTCTTGTAGTCTCCTAAGACTGCCCACAAATTAAGAATGGTTTCATGGTTTTTGTTGTTGCTGGTGGTTATTTTTATTTTTTATTTATTTATTTATTTTTTGTTGTTGTTTTACAGGATTTCTCTACATATCTCTGGCTGTCTTGGAACTCACTCTGTAGACTAGACTGGCCTTAAAATCAGAGATCTGCCTGCCTCTGCCTCCCAAGTGCTGGGATAAAGGCATGGACTATGATGCCTGGCTTGGTTTTGTTTTTATGCTTATTCAGTTAAAAGAAAATGCCCCTTTTAAGATATGTGAAATTGTGTTTAGTTTCTTTTTTGTTTTGTTCTTTTTTTGAGATAGAGTTTCATGGACAAGTTGTGTAATCACTGTAGCCCAAACTGATCTGAAATGCAAGGCAAAGCTCCTGCCTCAGCCTCCCAAGCGCAGAGACGACAGGTATGAATCATATGGCTAGCTATTTCCATTCAGCTCAAAAGACTTAAGAATTTTTTTGTCTTTGAATTTCTGGGTTTAGATGTATATTGCTTAATTTTTAAATTCTTGGTATTTCCTCAGATTTTCTTCTGTTGAAGATCTCTAGTTTAGCTTCCTAGTTATAGAAAGAGAACATCTGCTTATTATTTAATCTTAACTTATTAAGCTTGTTTAGTCCTCACACTATGGTCTATTCAGGACTATGTTCTAAGTGTGCTAGAAAACAATGTGTACTCTGCACTCACTGGGTAGAATGTTCTGTTTGAACAGACAGCATTTTCCATTCTTTTATTTATGTATATTTTGGGGGGTGACAGGGTCTTACTCTGTAGCCCTTTAGGGGTTACATAAGATCTTGCTCTGTAGACCAGGCTGGACTCCAGCTCACAGAGATTGGCCAGCTTCTGCCTCTGAGTGCTGGGATTAAAGCATTAACAACTATGCCTAGTCACCCATCTTTATATTTTTAGCATACTTGTGTGGAACCTTTGTGTGTTTCTTTGTTTGTGTGTGGCTAGAGATTGAGTCCAGGGATTCATACATGCTGGTCACTCCAGCAATGAGCTGCATACCAAGTCCTCTTTTGTGTTTTTGATAAAGGGTCAAAGTAGTCTTGCTGGCCTGAACCTCCAGAACCCCTCACCTCTCGCTCCCGAAGTGCTGGGGTTAGAGCGCATCCTCTTAAATAATTTCCGTCTGCTGACTGGATTCTATTTTTCCCAAGGGAGTTTCATTATTTATTTGTCTAGTATAGTCTGGAGGCTCTAAGTGACATCTGTCTCATCCAGATCCTTGAGGCTGCTGGTGTTTCTACTCAGTGTTTTTCTTGTTTCCTGACTTCCTGACTTCTTTGCCCTAAGTGTCCTGTCCCTGTAAGGACAGCTTCTATGCTATGCAGACAGCACTCATGTGGGCCAGGTATTCCTGTTTTCCTTGTATCCTTTTACGTATGCCTAAGCTCTACCAACCAGGAATACACGGATACCTTGTGTTCATTCTGATCTCTGCTACCCATGAACATAGCCTCTGGCCAAATAAGGGTATGAGGGTTTTTTCTTTTTTTAATTTATTTGTTTTTATCTTATGTGTATGCCTGAATATAAGTGTACTGGGTGCATGTCTAATCCCTACAGAGTTAGAAGAGGGTGTCAGATCCCGGGAACTGGAGTTAATCAAGGTTGTAAGCCACAAGTGAGTGTGGTAAATTGAGTCTGGGTCCTCTACAAGAGCATCTCTCCAGCCCAGGGAACATGCCCCTGAGGCTGCCTCCCTGCCTGTTCCATCGTGAACCTTACTCGCCCACAGCTTCAAGCTAAAAGAGCTGTGGCTCTCCTCAATGTCATTTTAACTGATAATGTTTCAATCATGTGAGCCCACCTATGCAGCAACTCCAAACCTGTTGGTTTTTATAATCTACCTTGTTTAGTAACTACTCAGAGCTTCTCACAGAATTGGTGAGCCAGGAGCCCCAGGCAAGTATTTCAGACTCAGAGTCAGGGTTTTAGCTCAATGGTAGAGCTTGCCTAACATGCACAAGGCTTTGGGTTTGATCTTCAGTACTAAAGAGAATAAAAAGGCCTTGATCTTTAAGATGTAAATCTAATTTAAAATATTTATAGATTAAATACGTTGTCTAGGACTTTTTTTTTCTTTCAAGTAATGACAAAATCATAGAGGATAAATCAGTAGGAGGGGTCAAGGAGATGGATAAGAATGGCCACAAGAGTTAACAGCTGAAGCTGGTGATGGGCTCTTAGTGTTTAGAGCACATGACGAGCACACTCGGCCATGGGTTCGAGCACCAGCACTGAACAAAAGAAAAGTCAGTAGAGGTCATTTCTTTCTGAGTTACGGCATCAACACGGCTTGTAATTCAATTTGGGTATTTATTTGCTTTCAGTTTCCATGGACTGCTTTGAGACCTATCCCGCCTCCACCCCATTTCTGTTTTGTTTGAGACAGAATCTCATTGTAGTTCAGGCTGGCATGGAACTCACTATGTAGCAGAGGTTGCTCTTGAACTCATGATCCACCCTCTACCTCCCAAACACCAAGCACTGGGGTTATAGACACATATCACGTTCTTCCTATCTTGCTTTTGTTTTTGAGACAGGGTTTCATATTTCATAGGCTGGCCTTAAACTGGAGATGATTCTTGCCTCTGCCTCTCAATCCTGGGATTACAGCATATGTCACCACACCCTGATACAGTCAAATACATATATAAATACATCAATAAAAGTAAACCTTAAGGGGGCTGGAGAGATGGCTCAGGGGTTAAGAGCACTGGCTGCTCTTCCAGAGGTCCTGAGTTCAATTCCCAGCACCCACATGGTAGCTCACAACCATCTGTAACGAGATGTTTCTTCTGGTATGCAGGCAGAAAAACATAATAAATAATTTTCAAAAAATCCTTACAAGCTGGTGGTGGTGCACACCTTTATTCCCAGCACTTGGGAGGCAGAGCCAGGCGGATCTCTGTGAGTTCAAGGCCAGCCTGGTCTACAGAGCAAGATCCAGGACAGGCACCAGAGAAACCCTGTCTCGAAAAACAAAACAAAACAAAAACCTTAAAAAAAGTTTTCTGAAAAACCCTAATCAGTTTAGAAATACTTACTAATAAAACTCAGTGCTAGGGCTCAAACCCAAGGCCTGAGGCATGCAGCATATACCTTACCACTGAGCTATTCTTTTTTTTTTATTTTATATACACTGGTGCTCTTATAGCCGCTGAGCCATTTCTTCAGCGGCCCCCGCGCCCCCCCCCCCCCCAGCTGTATTCTTAGCCCTGTAATTTTTCTCTTCTGTTTTTGGTGGTGCTAGACATCAAACTCAAGGCCTTACACATATTCTAGGCAAGTGATATTCAGTCTCTTTTTTCATGTTTTTGAGACAAGGTCTCACTGTAGCCTGGCTGGCCTCAACCTCAAACTAGTCCTCTTGTTTCAGTCTTGTGTGGAAGTTTTTCATGTCAACTTGTGCATCTCATGTTGACTGGAAGATTCTCAAAGATGAAGGATTATGTTAACTTTTTTTAAAAAAAGGCACAGTCATTTTCTTTTAATGATATTATCTGTTTAGGTCTATGTTTACGGTTTTTAATCTTTTTATAGAATTACCTGTTATGTGGCTTTTGATAATTAGCCCTACAGTATCTACATTAACTGCAGTTTTAAGTTGTACTTTAAGTATCAAAGATGAGTTCAAAATAAGCTTCCTATTCCCTTTCTTTTTTTTTTTTTTTTTTGGTTTCTGACAGGGTTTCTCTGTATAACAGTCCTGGTTGGCTGTCCTGAAAGTTGCTTTGTAGACCAGGCTGTCCTCAAACTCACAGAGATCCGCCTGGCTCTGCCTCCCGAGTGCTGGGATTAAAGGCGTGCACCACTACCACCACCACCACCACCACCACCACCACCCAGCTCCTATTCCACTTCTATTTTCAATCATTTTTTCTTTTTAAAATTCTTCTTCTAGGACTAGAGATGTAGCTTAGTGGTACACTGCAAGGCCCTGGGTTCATCCCTAGCATCACAAGACCAACAAAAACTTGTTCAAAATCAAGAAAACTTAATTCAATGTGTTCACTAGCCTACAGTCACAGCTAGAGCAGGACAGACTATGGACTATGAAATATCCTCCTAAAACTCAAACTCAGTACTTACGCATCTGTTGTCTTTGTACACCCATTCAGATTCAGTACTTCAATATTCCTACAATTTTGTGCAAAAGTCCTTTATAGGGAAAGAAAAGTTAAAGGTTATAAATAAGGTAGACAAAATTCTAGATATAAAAAGGCATTACCACTGGCAATACTGGTTGTTGGCATCTATGATGCCATAATATGCAAAATACATACTTGGTTTTCACTCCTAGTTACTAGGATAGAGATCCTCAGACCCTTGTAATTTCCTGAGTGACAAGTCAGAGGAGTAGCATTTGTTCTCATATTTGGTCTTTATGTCTTTGTAATAATACAACCTCCATAAAACTACTAAACAATTGGACCAGAGCTTCTGGGTTGGTGTGATGGGAGGGTGGCGGGCCCCAACTCCACAAAGACAGGTGCCACTGTGCTCCAGTCCCTTCTAAACCTTGCCCTGTGTAGTAGCACTTCCTCTAGCTACTCATTTATGTGCTTTGTAACAGACTGTTAATAGTACCTAAGGTGCTTTCCTGAATTGTAGGACTCACTGTAGCAAATTAGAAAATCTGAGAAGAGTCACGGTAACACTGATTTGTGCATAGTAATGTGGGACTTGCAACTGGCATCTCAAGTAGAGGCTGACTTCTGGCACTGAGCTGGCAGCCTGTGGACAGTTAGTGTTAGCAGTGAATGGAAATATCCAGTCAGGATCTGCAAAATCAAAGACCTGGCTGTTGGGTGGAGGAAAAACAAACTTACGGATTTGGTACGTGAGGTATGAATAAGAGCTCAACAGGGCAAAGCAGCTGGTGGGTGGAAAGAAATGGATTTCCCACCACACACTGTTCTTTAAAGCTGTGAACAGTTTTTTCTTCTAGGGTTCTCAGAAGGGTCTTACTGCACAGCCCAGGCTGACCTTGAACTTGCAATCCTTCTGCCTTAACTTCTTAATTTCTGGGGCTAAATGTTAATCTTTGTGTTAATAAAAGCTAAAAACAACTTGATCAAGGTCCCCAAAGAACTATTTTATTTACTGTTACTTTTCTATTCCATGGGCTATGTAGCCCAGGCGGACTCAAACTTAGTCTCCTTCTCAAACACGCTAACCTGGGATTATTACAGTATGCTACTACACCCAGGGTCCCCACTTCCTATTAGATATTTTTGTTACAACCAATGTCTATGCTTACATTTTTAACAGCTTAGGAATTTAAAATCTACTTTAGCCTTTTCTGAGTGAGTTGGTGCTGTCTTTACTTCAATCTAAGAGATCAAAGTTATTTTTTAAACAGATATATTTTCTTACCTTAATGCATTGTCTCCTACTCCAAGACAACCACGAAGACTTAACTTTCGTAAAAAGCCTCCACATCGTTTTGAAATATTTTCTACTACTCGGCCCTATAAAGAGACAGTTAACCAAAAAGGCCTACGTTACTTCTTTTGACAAGAACACACCCTCGTTGTTTTTTTTCTTTTTTTTAAAAGATTTTATTTATTATGTGTACAGTGTTCTGCCTGCATGCCAGAAGAGGGCGCCAGATCTCATTACAGATGGTTGGGAGCCACCATGTGGTTGCTGGGAATTGAACTCAGGACCTCTAGAAGAACAACAGCCAGTGCTCTTAACCGCTGAGCCATCTCTCCAGCCCCCCACCCTCGTTGTTTTATTTTAAATCAATTTATAAACAAAGAGAAAAGGCTTCTAAATAAAAATTCTTCCTGTGAAAATGTCAACTTATTCTGAGAAAGTCTTTCTGATTAATCTCTATACTCAAAACACAACTGTAGTCTATCTTCTTTGTTCAAAGTGTAGGACAGCCTGTATTTAAGGAATGGCGCTGTCTAGTTCTGGCAGAGCTTTCTATGCATGTAGATGGTTTGCTTGTGTTAAAACACAGATATGGAAGGACATAACCTTCCACATTTACTTTTGTGTCCTTTAAAATACTTACTATAGTATTCTGCATATAGCAGGAACTCCATGAGCAATTACCATCTTGCCAAATGATTCTGTGGGTCATGTTTTTTAAGTATATATATCCATGAGATCAGAGAATTGTGAAGTAAATGCAGCATAATGGTATAATGTTAGTGGTTTTTTGTTTTGTTTTGTTTTTGTTTTTCGAGACAGGGTTTCTCTGTGTAGCTTTGTGCCTTTCCTGGAACTCACTTGGTAGCCCAGGCTGGCCTCGAACTCACAGAGATCCGCCTGGCTCTGCCTCCCGAGTGCTGGGATTAAAGGCGTGCGCCACCACCGCCCAGCTGTTTGTTTTAATTTTATGTGTATGGATTCTGGTTGCATGTATGCCTGTGCATCACATGTATGCAGTGCCTGTGGAAGCCAGAAGAGAGAGCCTGATTCCCTGAAACTGGAGTTAAAGAGGGTTGTGAGCTGCCATGTGGATGCTGGGACTCAAACCAGGGTCCTCTAGAAGAGCTGCCAGTGCTCTTAACTGCTGAGCCATCTTTTCAGCCCGATTTTCGTTGATTTTGAGACACATCCCTTGTACTCAAGGCTAGTATGATTACTATGTAGCTGAGGATGAACTTGAACTTTGTGTGGTACGTGCATATGTGTGCAGGAGCACTTGGCTGTGCAGGTCAGGATGTCTTCTCTAATTGCTTCTTCATTTTATTTTTTGATATAAGTTTCCCCTGAACGTGGCGCTTCCACACTGGTAGAGTGGCCAGCAAGCTCCTCGGATGCATCTGTTTCCACCCCCGCAGTCTGGTGCACCTCTACTCCTGACTTGTACACAGACGCTGGAGGGCTAAGCTCAGGTCCTCATGCTTGGATGGCAAGGACTTTATCAACTGAGCCATCTCTCACCCCGACCTTGAACAACATCTTTCTGAGCTTCGGGGCTCTGTCTCTAAGTGCTGATATTACAGCATGTGCATGACTGGATGCTGCTACACTTTTTTAATTGAGAGATAACAAACTATACTAAAAGATTAAATGGAAAAGAAAACCCCCACACACAAGAAAATCATCCCTCATTAGTAAAAACAATTCAATAATTTTAGTTTTACCCACTTTTCATTTTCCATAAAAACTATTTCCATTTTTGTTCTTCTAATATCAAAATACACATCAAGAACAAACACAACTATCATCCAATAGGTTTAAGCCTCCTGACCATTCAATAAATTAATGTAAAATAACCTGCTTTACATGAGCAAACACAAAACTACAAAACAAACCCTTCTGGTCTCCGTTCAGAACTAACGTTATTCAGGAACTTAGCATTATTTCAGGGAAATAAGTCCACTTATCCTCAAAAACGGAAGGGAATTAGGGGTAAAAATACAAGCCAGTGGCAGAGTGTAGCCTGTCACACATGAGGCCCTAGGTTCGAATCCTTGTACTCTCTTCCCCAACCTGAAGAAACACTTTTTGTTGTTGTTTTGTTTTGAGACATAGTCTCCCTGTGCAGCCAGGCTGGCCTCCAGCTCATGTTGATCTGCCTGACTCTGATGAAATTAAAGACCTGTGTCATCACGTCCACCTAAGAAAATCTTCTTGAGAACACTGGAGGCTTCAACAAGTTCAGCTGCATCAAAAATAATTTCTTCAGTGGAAAAGTAAAGATTCCTATGTCTAGGATTAGTGCTGTAACTACTAATGAAAGAAATGGGGCCACACACCACGTAATTATACCTCAATATCCCTCTGGAAATCAAACAGGTCAATTCGCTGCCAGTTACTGCCGTCCAGAGCTAGGACATTCCAAGCCTATTTTGAATAAAAAGAGATAGAATGAGCAGTGGTTAAAATGAAAACAGAAACTAGCAATATTTAAATTCCTAATTCCACTAACAAGTAATCGAGAATGACCCAAACCTTCCTCGGTCCCTCCCAACAGTATCTCCAAGCACCCACGTGGCGGTACAGCACTGGGGAGGCGGACAGGGCGTCTGCTCCACGATCTTTCTCTCTAATTGTGGTTTCCTTAGTCAATGGACTCACTCAGTTGTGCTTTATAATTAACCAATACTCTGTCCAACTTGACTCAGCGACAGCTTTATTTTATTGCTTGTCACATTGGGATCAAATCCAGGGCCTTGTACATTAGACAAGCACTCTACCACTAAGCTGCAGTAGGAATTGTTGGTTCTCGGGAAGGTCTTACTGTGCAGGCCAGCTCGACCTCCAACCCTTAATCTCCTGCTTCAGCCTCCACAGCCCTAGGATGCCAGGCCCAGGACTCGGTGGTAATTTTAAAACTGCCAACTTAAAACTGTTTAGCCATCTAGTCAATAAACTAGAGGCAGCAAGAAAATTTACTAGGATTGGGTGAAAAATGACTTCAGTAGGAGATAATTTGTTGTAGATCATTTGGTATTTTAAAGCCTTTAAAAGCTTCTCCTAATTAAATAATAAAAGCCATGTATTGTTCATAACAATAAATGTACACACTACATTTGAGACAAGGTCTCACTATGTAGCCCAGGGTTATCTTCAAACCCAAGATACTCAAATAGTAGGGTTATAGTTATAAGCCACTATATCCAGCTCTAGAGTTTCCTTCTTCCTTCATATATATATTTTTTCCTTTTCTCCCCCCCAGCCCCCGCCCCGAGACAGAATTTTGCTGTGTAGCCCTGGCTGTCCTGGAACTCACCCTGTAGACCAGGCTGGCTTTGAACTCAGAGAAATCTGCCTGTCTCTGCCTCCCCAGTGCTGGGATTAAAGGCGTGTGCCACCACTACCCAGCATTAGAATATTCTTTATTACAACAAATTTAAGAAGCAATTTAATATAGGGTATACTTATAGCCATTTCTCTGAAAGACTATTTTTTTGATACTGAGTCTCACTGTGTAGCCCTGGGTGACCTTGAACTCTTAGAGACCCCTCAGCCTCTGCCTCCCCAGTGCTGGGATTAAGGGCTTGGGTCACCATGTCCCACTTTTCTTCAAAATTTCTAAACAAAATTCTAGATATTCTGAGAAGCCCAGGGGTAATGATCATACAATCATTAAGAAACATGTTGGCGTGACGGGAAGCAAGAAGCTATTCTAAAACTAGGTCAGGTTCTCCCGTGGTGGATGATACTTCCCTCTTTGTGCCTTCAGATTTTTCCAGTGGTTGGTTTGTTTGTTTTGTTTTGTTTTGTTCTGTCTTCTAAATAGCTAGCCATGAAAGTAACAAATAAAATTTAAAAAACCACATGTTTAAGAGATTCTTGAACTAAATATATCTCTGATTGTGTGCTAGTCCTTGCCAGGTTCTTCAGGGAGCAGGAAGCATGCAGAACTCAGCCTAAAATTAGGAATGACAGGTTCCTCCCTAGAGTCTGCATTAAAAAACAAAACAAAACAAGAAAACCTCAAAGTGTTGGCAGTGTGGCTCAGTGTTAGGTCTAGCCCAGTGTACGCCAGCAGTGCAAGAGCAAACACCTCCCTCCCAACACAACCCTCAATTACTGAGATCAGCAGATGCCAATGCACCAATGGTACGGATTTAATGACATTTGGCACGGTTCTCTCCCTTCCTTAAACGAAATCCACAATTAAAGCTCACTTGTGAACAGCCCTGGATGATGATTTCTGCTCACATGGAGTCAGAAAGGGAAATGTGCTCACTTGTAAGAATTGCATTTAAAGACCGAACAGTTCCTGGGACAGTAACTACAAAGGACTCACCACACCGCCGACCGTTTCCAAAATGGCAGACGTGCAGACATAAGTACAGCTTTTCGGATGGAGAAATTACTTTAAGATTACCATAAAGGACCTTTCCACATGGAGGTTTTTGGGGTTTCGTATCCAGTGGCAGCAGGAGTGGTACCTGTGTCGCCTGACACACAAGTGGTACTTCGTGGGATCTCCGTGAGTGCTGGTCTACTCTAACTTTTCCCTCCTCGACTGCCATTTTTTTTTCCCCCAGAGACAGGGTTTCTCTGTGTAGTTTTTGGTGCCTGTCCTGGATCTCGCTCTGTAGCCCAGGCTGGCCTCGAACTCACAGAGATCCACCTGGCTCTGCCTCCCGAGTGCTGGGAATAAAGGCATGCACCGCCACCACTACCCAGGAAAGACTATGTGAAGATAACAAGAATTAGATGCTCAAGAGTCTTTAAAACATCCATATGTGTGTCTATGTGCTGGTGTAAAACGAACTACAAAACCAGCAAAATATGATTTTGTTATATAATTTGTTGAGTCAAGCTTAGTTAATTAGCTGAGTCAATGCTTTCAACATAAAGTACCCCTTGTTTATAGTATGTAAATGTTAGGAACAGTACACAAAACAGAATCCATCCTAGAACCATATGGGATGGATGGCGTACTTGGAGTAAAATATCATCTCTCTGTAAAATACAAGTAGCACCTAAAATACCAGAGGCTGTCCACCTCAGAGCCAGGAAAAGGTCCTTCTAATGTCAACCATCTTACCCTGGAGACCTGAGCACAGCGACACAAGGTAACAACGTCCAGGAAAGAAAATATCCTAAAGAAGAGAAGAGAGGGAACAAACTTGTATCATTTCTCTTATATTCTGTCTCATACATTTTCTCTCCTGCCCATCCCCATTATGTTGATCAGGATGACCCTGAACGTGTGATCCTCCTGCCAAAGCCTCTGGAGTGCTAGGCTTACAGGTATACAAATACCACATCTAGTTTTTGTTTTTTTAATTAAAAAGTTGTAGTGTACAAAGTAACAGGTTTCATTGTATTTTATGAATATTATTGTACACTGCTCATAGTCATGCCTCTAGTCTGCTCTTTTGTCCTCCTTCCCCATCTTGCTAGTCCCCTTTCCACCCTCAAACAGCTGCTTAAGAAAATTCTCATGGATTTAACCTACAATAATGCACATACAATATCATACACACATGAACACCTCCATCATCCAGAGGCAGAAGTTCTTTCAAACAAATACAAATATACCCTGAGCAAAATGCAAAAATAACTCTGTCCACATTGAATGACATGGCAGCTGAGGGCGAGCCCCTAACCTACCTATATAGTGTATAGTTCAAGAGCATTAAACATCGGTTCTCATCATGCAACATCTTGTCAAACTGTTAACTTTTTATTAGACAATGACTCTCCATTATTTCTCTCTCCGCCTCGACAAGCACCATTCTACTTTCTCTCTGGGCAAAGTACTTGCTCTGATTTCATTTGTAAGGTCGAATACTCATTCATTTTACATGAATACTGTATTCTATACATCCATCCACAGTTACTTGTATTACTTTCTCCAACTGGTTATTATGAATTCTGTTCCTACGTACACAAATACCTGTTTGAGTCCCTGATTTCAATTATTTCAGGTACATACTCAGGAGTTGAATTTCTGGACCGGTGTTTAATTGTTTTGCACAATTCTGATTCTGTTATGTATCAGTTGTACCATTTTAAACACCTATACCAGTGCAAAAATAGTCCAATTAATTGTTTCATCGTGGTTAACATTTATTATTTCTTGTTTTTTTTAACAGCCACACTAATGGCTATGAAATAAGAACTGGTATCTCTTTGTGGTTGGTGTCTTGAGGCAGACTCTCACTCTGTAGACCAGGGTGGCTTCAAACTCAGGACACTTCTGCCTTGGCTTCCCAGGTACTTCAAGTCACAAGCCAAGCTCTGGAATTTCCGGAGGTGCAAGGCCATCTGCACATTTCCTCTGGAAAACTGCCCATTTAAGTCCTGTAGTCATTTTAAAACCAGGTAGTTTGTGGGTTCTGTGGTTGCACTGTGAAGTTCTTTGTGCATTCAAGACTACAGCCCTTCACTCTACACGTTAAGCATTTTCTTCCATTCTCAGGGTTGCCTTATTATTGCTGGAACGACTTCCAATGTGCAGAAAAAGTTACATAGTTTTCTTTCACTTCCTTAGTTTGTGATGTCATATTCAAGGAATCATTGTCAGGTACAATGTTATGAAGCCTTCCCCCTTGTTTTATTCTAAAATTTTTATAATTTTATGTCTTATGCTTAGTTTTTTGGGGGGAGGGGTGTCTATTGGGGTAGACACTGGATATGGTATAAAGTAAGAATCTAACTTCATTTTGTGTGTGTGCTGCTGGGACCAAACACAGGGCCTTGAGCAAGCTTCCCACAAGTCACCATTGAACTACATTTATATTCTCCGGTTCAATTTCATCCTTTTGCATGTGGATAATGTTTTCCCAAGGGACCTCTGTCAGAAATCATTGGAAGAGAATGTGTGTATGTGTTGGGAAGTGTGTTTCTGATTCCCTTTTCCACTGGACTTCTTTTAGTATTTTCTGTTCTGCTGCCAACTTTGTTTTCTTGTTCTTTCTTTTGTAGGACAAGGTTTCACTATATAGCTGGAGCTATTTACTACTTTCTGAGACAGGGTCTCACTCTGTATCCCTAGCAGGCTTGAATTTGTGATTTTTCTACCTCAGCCTTCCAAGTGTGGGATACACACCTGAATTACTAGGCTCATCTTGGATTTCTGATACATTTTTCTTTGTTCCACATAAGAGGCTGACAACTGAGTTAGAAGGATCAGAACAACAGGGTGAGTAAACATACCACTCTATATCCTGCAATGTCAGCAAAATACATGAACAGAAGCCCAGAAAACAACGATGATGGGGTAATCCAACGAAAACAGGTGCCACCAGGCCTGGGTGCTTAAAGTGATTGTCCTGCATGCTCAGGGACCTGAGTTTGATCCCCAGAAACACATACACACGCTTTCCCACTAGCCCCTGAAGAGAGTCGAGGATAAAGAACACAAAGTGTAAGCAGCAACAGCAGGCTGGCCTCAAACTGGTGGGCCACTCTCCTGCCTCTGTCTCCTGACGGGGATTATAGGTGTACACCTGGTTGTCTCATGTATTTGTCATCATTTTCCTGAGACATGGTCTCACTATGTCACCCTGGCTGGCCTCCAACTCACCCAGATCTGACTACCTCTGCCATCCAAGTGTTGGGATTAAAAATGTGTGCCTCCATCTCCAGCTCACATGTTTTATTTCATATGTATTTTATTTTCCGAGTATGATTGTTTTACCTGAATTAATGTATATGTACATCCTATATTGCCTGGTCCGTACAGGCATCAGAAGAAAGCAAGATATCCTCTGGAACTGAAGTTCTGGGTAGCTGGGAGCTACAATATGGGTGCTGGGAATCAAACCTGGATCCACTGCTAAGCCATATCTCCAGCCCACCTCATGTGTAGTTTTTTATCTTTTTTAGGGAGAAGGGAGGTTGAGACAGGGTCTTTCCAAGTAGCCCTGGCTATCCCAGTACTCTCTCTATAGACCAAGGTGGTCTTGAAATCACAGAGACAGGACAGTCTTTGCCTCCTGTGTTGGGATTAAAGATGTATACCAGCCATGTGATCTTGTTATCTAGATACTTTCAGTACCAGTATTTGAACCACAATGATATTCAGTTTACACCTGGTAGCCTCACAGAGGACATTAAATTCTTCAGCGTACGCTGTATTTCAGACCTCCCTCGCTGCACTAAATACCTGATGATCACGATTTCCTAACAGTTACTTGGCTGTGCTGTTGCTTAGACCATTGTGAGGTGGTGTGTAACATGAGGGGAACATGTGGTAGCCAGCAGAGAGAGAGAGGCATGAAGTGGCCAGGATTCCAACACTGTCCCCTCAAGGGTACTCCCAATAACCTGATGTCCTGCCACTAGTGTTCTCCCATCTCCTAACAGAGCCACAGACTAAGGACCAAGGCTTCAACACATGGGCCTTTGGAAGACATTCAAGATCTAAACTATAGCAACAACTAACAACTTCATTAACTATATTACAAAGTTGAACTGTCTAGAAAGTAGTTCTACTGCTCTAAATTGAAGCAGAAGGGGCTGAGAGATGGCTCGGGGGTTAAGAGCACGTGTTCTTCCTGAGGACCTGGGTTCAACTCCCAGCACCCACATGGTGACTCATAACTATCTTTAACTCCAATTCCAGGGGATCTGCTGAAAACATCAGACATGTACAAGGTGAACATACATACATAAAGGCAAAGCACACATTTAAAAAAAAAAACTTAAAAAAAAAAAAAGAGCACTGGTTTGATTCTCAGCACCCATGTGACAGCTCACAACCACCTGTGACTCCAGTCCCAGGGGATGAAGTGCCCTCTTCTGGCCTCTGTAATCACTGCACACCTGTACACAGACATAAATGCAGACAAAACACCTATAACCCATAAAGTAAAATAATGTGCTGCAGGGTCCTAATGACAAGTCTCTCTGATCTTGTTGGGCAATTAGCAGTCCCATTTTCTATGCAAAAGCCTTCACAACCAAGCTCTGTGGAAAAGAAATGGCAGCCACTGTGGATGTGTTGGGACGTAAAATTTTTCTTTTTACACTTACAGGTTCATTATAATGATGCTCACAAAGAACAAAATGAGCAGATCAAAGGCTATAGAACAGGAGAGAAGCAGTGCTCCCGTGCCCTTTCCAGGAGCTCTTTCTCAGACTGATCACAGATTCAATTATCAGGAAAGCCCCTGGGATTTTTTTTCCCCTTGAGGAAATAGAAAATAAGATGAGCAGCTGGGTGTGGTCTTGCACACCTGTGATCTCAGCACTGGGAAGGTAAGTGGATCTCTGAGTGTGAGGCCAGCTTGGTCTACATACTGAGTTCTAGGAGTGCCACAGCTATACAGTGGGATCATGTCTCAAAAAAAAAAAAAAGTAGGATAGTGTTTTACTGAGGTAAAGGCACAGTTATCAGAATTCTTATTTTCCAATAAAAATGATAAATCTATTACTTTTCACCTGAAAAAAAGAAAATGACCTTTGATCCCCAACTAAAACTAGGACTATTTCCAGTCCTGGCATCTCAGACTGTCTGTACCTCCAGTTTGAGGGGATCCGATACCCTCTTCTAGCTTCTGCAGGCACAAGATATGCACATGTACACACATGCATGTAAAAAAGAACAACACCCAAGCCGGGCGGCGGTGGTGGCACACGCCTTTAATCCCAGCACTCGGGAGGCAGAGCCAGGTGGATCTCTGTGAGTTCAAGGCCGGCCTGGGCTACCAAGTTAGTTCCAGGAAAGGCGCAAAGCTACATAGAGAAACCCTGTCTCAAAAAACCAAAAAAAAAAAACCAAAAAAAAAAAAAAAAAAAAAGAACACCACCCAAATACATAAAATAAAAAATTAGAAGGCAGAGGCAGATGGACTTAAGGAGGTTTTGGTTTTGTGTTTTTGAGACAAGGTCTCTCTACATAGTCCTAGCTGTCCTGATACTCACTATGTAGACCAGATTGGTTCAAACTCACAGAGATCCACCTGCCTCTGCCTCCCAAGTACTGGACTAAAGGCATGCACAACCAACTCTATGAGATTGAGGCCATCTTGGTCTACATCTTGAGTTCCAGGCCAGCCAAGGCTACGTAGTGAAATTATATCTCAAAAACAAGCAAACAAAAAACCAAACAAGCAAAGAAAAAATTTATACTCTATGACCGCATAAGAAA